TGCGGCCAGCTTCAGGTAATTTGCAGGGCCCTGGTGGTGCTCCTCCTGAAACTCTTACACAAAAGAGGATGTAGTGGTCCTGCTGCTGGGTTGCTGCCCTCCTACAGCCTACACCAAGTCTCATGATGAACTGGCCTGTCTCCTAGTAGTGCCTCCAGCCTCTGGACACTATGCTGACAACAACAGCAAACCTTTTTGCCACAGTTCACATTGATGTGCCTAATGGATGAGCTGCAGTACCTGAGCCACTTCTGTGGATTGTCAAGTCTGTCTCAATCTACCACGAGTTTGAAAGCACCACCAACATTCACAAGTGACCAAAGCATCAGCCAGAAAGCAGAGGTACTGAAAAGTGGACTGTGGTCCCCACCTGCAGAACCAATCCTTTGTTGAGTATGTCTTGCTAATTACTAATAATTTCCACCTGTTGTCTATGCAATTTGCACAACAACATGTAGAACCGATTGACGGACAGATAGATAGATAGATAGATAGATAGATAGATAGATAGATAGATAGATAGATAGATAGATAGATAGATAGATAGATAGATAGATAGATAGATAGATAGATAGATAGATAGATAGATAGATAGATAGATAGATAGATAGATAGATAGATAGATAGATAGATAGATAGATAGATAGATAGATAGATAGATAGATAGATAGATAGATAGATAGATAGATAGATTGATTGATTGATTGATTGATTGATTGATTGATTGATTGATTGATTGATTGATTGATTCAGTGCATTTTTTGAGCCGCAGCTGATCATCAATTCCCGAAGACTGACATGCCAAATCCAATTTTCATTTATATCGATTTTTTTTATAACCAACACTGTTGGTTGTCATAAGACCTTCAATATTTCAATCTGATCTCACTGAAATTAATTAATCAGTACCTGCAAAACAATAAACACTTCTTACATAAGTTATTGCTCTAATAGATAAATTAGAGGATAGAGCATTGATTTACCTTTGCAGAGGTAGAGTAGATCTGTGGAAAACATTGATTTTATATATACGTATCGGCTGATCACCTATCTTCCTAAATTAAACAAATTTAGGCTGAGAATTTGGCCAGCCAACCAAATTGTGCACCCCTAATTTATATATATACATAGTTCAGTCCGAACTTAAACAAGCCTGTGCTCCTCTTGATAATACCTCCTTCTGAGGCCTCCAAAAAGATGTAAATGGATGTTTCACTGGTGTTGTGACCCTTGACCCAGAATGCCCCCCTGCTTCCTGAGCCAGATGCTGCTTCTGTGGACCACCGTCTTCTCAAACTAAACAAAGTAATCCTCCACTAAACAAGATGGATATTGTATCACTAGCCTTGTTAATGCTGCAGAGAAAAGCACAGAGCTACCCCTTTCTCATCTCTGAAGGAAAAAACTGAACCACTTAGTCTGAAGATGAATGAAAACATCTATACTTTGGTTTACATTAATTTGTTGCATGTTATTTTATATACAAAGCATTTCCAGCTCTAGGTAATTAGTAGCTGAAATTAAAATAAAGATTTTTGGTATTTTCCATCTGTCTCCATTGTTGCCCTTTGATCAGATTTTCTCACCTGAGCTGTGAATCTCTGCAGCTCCTCCAGAGTTACACTATCCTATTCACCGCTATTTGATAAACTTTGCTTTTGCTTGACTTGTCGCTTTAAGTTGGTGGTCATGTTTTGTTAGGTCTTTACCTGTTTTGTAATCTTTCCAGTTTGGCCTGAAAACTTATCTGTACATTGTTCAGAGTCTGGGACACTGGACAACCTAACTCTGCTTTAAACAATTTTCCCTCATCCGTCTGTTGTGTTCCTTGATTTTCATGTTGCTCTTTATTAAATAATGTCGTCCAAAAAACCTTCGTAGAACATCTATGGTACAAGTGGACTTTACATACAGACTAGCATTCGGAAAGCATGCTTTTTGGACTGGATGTGAATCAACGATTGAAGGGGCAGAATCTCAATCCCTGCCACATTTATGTTAGATTTTTTTAAAACCGTATATTTTTATTTTTCCACTTCACAGTTCTGAAGTGCTTACTCTTGTTCTGTCATACAGAACTCAGTAACTAACTTTAAATTTGTTGTTTTTCCTCTTTCGAAATGTGAAATATTTGAAGAAGTGTAAATAGTTTTGGAAACCATTCTTATTTTACATCCAGCATGGACTTCTGAGTCTCTACACACCAAAAATTTGTTATGGTGGGATATTTCAAGGTAGTTTTTAAAACTACTAAAGGAAAGGTACGTGTTATGTGTAAATATATAAGAAAGGATTAAAGCGATAAAGCATCTTAAGACAGGATATAGAGTGTATGATGTATATGAATCTCTCTAGAGTTATGTGTGCTGGTTTGTGCTGTAGTTTCTTTATCTTCTTCCATAGATTTTCCAGATGTGTACCGTAGATAGACATAAAGAAAGTTTTATGGTCAGCTTAAAATTTGCATTGATTAGGTCATGACTCTGAGATCTTTATATTCTACAATTGATTATTTTTCCTCTAAAATCCCTCTTACAAGTTTTTTAAAACCTTTGGACACAGGAAAGCACTTCCTTCCCAATGCTTGCAGTATGTTTTCCTTTGGTTTACGTTTATCCAGAAATGCTTAATTTCAGTCTAATTTAAACAGAGCACACTGTTGCAAAAGATGATCCAACTAAAAGTGACTTTCCTTTACTTGACACACCTTTTGTCTGCAGTTAGTTGTATTTTTTAGGCATCTTTTTTTAACAATTGTTTTTCCTTCTACTCAACTTTCCTTGCTCTTTGACAATTTACCCTTTTGTCAAATATCTCTGCTCTCACCCTGGCCATAATACCCTGTGCATGTACAGAACTTAATGTATTTTGTGGTTTAACTAAATGCATATTTTGAATTACAGTAGGCTATAGCTCTATCGAAATAAAGAGAAACACAGAGCTTGAATTACATCTCTCTGTGCAACGAATCGACTAAATACTCCAGTTTATCTTTTTCAGTTGAATAATGATTTATTTTTTCAAACTCATTAAGATGCACCTCCTAAAACTTTAACCCAAAAACTGTAGCTTTTTTGCAGGGCGCCTATAGCAGTTTGTCGGAGGTTCCCGCCCCTCCATGCGCGTATTTCAACATCTCAGCCAATCCTGTCCTCCCAAATAACAAAAAAAGTTTACACCAAGTAGCCTATAAGAACTTCTTAAGTTTCTCAACTAACAGAAGAGTATTTTCCTCCAAGGAATCCATTTATGGATTGTTTTGCGGCGGATCTTCAGGTGGATCCTCTCCCTGACTTCTCATGAGAGGGGAGTGAGTTGTCGGAGCCCTCTCTGACCCAAGGTCTTCTCAGGTGGGAGATGTCTGAGGAAAATCTGGGGGAAGAGTCGGGAAGCTCCCCCGTCTCTCCTGTGGACAGCCTGAGCAACAGCGAGGGAGAGCCGGACAAGCAGCCGAAGAGAGGCGGCGGGAGGAAGCGGAGAACCAGCAGGAAAAGCGGGGACGACTCGGACAGTCCCACCCCGGGGAAAAGAGGGAAGAAGTCCGGCAGCAGCAGCCCCCAGTCCTTCGAGGAGCTCCAGTCGCAGCGCGTCATGGCCAACGTCCGGGAGCGACAGAGGACCCAGTCCCTGAACGAGGCGTTCGCGGCCCTGCGGAAGATCATCCCCACATTGCCATCGGACAAACTGAGCAAAATACAGACCCTTAAACTGGCAGCCAGGTACATCGACTTCCTCTGCCAGGTGCTGCAGAGCGACGAGCTGGACTCCAAGATGTCAAGCTGCAGCTATGTGGCTCATGAGAGGCTGAGCTACGCCTTCTCTGTGTGGAGGATGGAGGGCGCCTGGTCCATGTCTACATCTCACTAGCATCTGGAGACTTTTATTTGCCCATAATGGTACGCTTAGGTTTTATTCCCACTTATATGCATGATCCAACCTTGCACTGCTTCGGATGATTATGCAATCCAAAATGGTGCATTATAAACCAGAGGTCCAGAGTTTGCAAAGTGCTAAATAATCCCCTTATTTAATCTGCAGGTGACTGCTGAATCTACTTATCAAATTCTGAAGGGACATTCTGGAGTCCAATGCTGGAAACATCGGATCACTCAAGCCGAAGACGACTCTATTTTAAAGCATGGGCCCCCATACTGGTGGGCTCAAATATTGTTGACGACGAATGTTAGATATATATGTGTTTTTTTATTTTTTGCTTTGTTTAATGCGTACATCTGAAATTATTTTTGTTGAAATCAAATGGCATGGCTGACGGCTTACAGTTTGGAACAAACCTGTGCAAAAAAACAAAAAAAAAAAAAAAGAGGGAGAAAGAAAGGAAAGAAGGAAGGAAGCAAAAAAATAAGTCTCAGTATGCATTTATTTATTTATTGGTGAAACCTGTTATCTTGAGAAATAAATCCTGTGTCTGGAATGGAAAATAATAATAAAAAAATAATAATAAACACATTCCACTTTTTTTTATATATCATTATGTTTTGTGTAAATGTTTGTATATTTTTTGCAATAAAGAAAAAGATGATGGACGATCTTTATTTATATATTTTTTTTCTTCATGTTTTGTTTTCTCATTCTTAAAATAACTCAGTGACATTTGCAGAGAATATAGATCCTTAAGTAAACTTGCATGCGTTATGTGTTTTACTTAAACACATGCAATTAATTCAAATAACACTGAGGATTTTAATGGATTAGAAAAAGTATCTAATAATTACCCTGTTGTGGAAACGATTTTGAAAGAAACGCAGTGAAAAGTTACAAAAATTAGGTTTTTGAAACCTTTTTTGCAACTTTTTACTTTTTAAAAGGATAAAACTGTTACAAATACAAAACTGTTTAATTAGGTGAATTTGTCCTTAATTTCAGTAGGTAAATGAGATGATCTGCCAATGGAAAAAGATTGTTAAAATAAGATAATTAGATAATATGCTCTTGAAATAAGACACAGCAATAATATTTTACTTATTTTAAGTGTAAATTGTGTTGTTCCACTGTCAAAGTGCCTCACTTGCCTGATCAACTCAAGAAAAAATGCACTTATTTTAAGAAAAAATTATTTAGATTTAAGTTTTTTTGCAGTGTACACATTAATGAAGGATCTAACGACCTCTTCTGTTTCTTTTCTCTCATTGTTTATAGTTGGATCACAGTCTGTGCCTATAGCCCTATTATTATACCGAGGTCATGTCACCATTTTAGTGGCTCTCAGCCCCATGCTGTAAAGCAGCTTTAAAATATCCTGGACATAAGTTTGTAGCAGCAGCAATAGGCTTTGTTTTCGTGTGAACTCGAACATCCGCATGCGCAATCCCGATTATTGTCAGTAAATAAATCTTTCAGAGCCCGCTGTTATCACGCAATGATTGATCTCCACTGATCTGGGAAAATATTTCTCGCGGTCCAAATCAAAGTGCGCGCGCGCTTGTAGGTGTGTAATTGCCTCGCGAGGGATGTATGGAATTCCCAGATGTCAAGAAATCCAAGAAGGCCGCGAAGGTGCGGGCTGGGACTCTGGGAAAGCAGAAGGGACTGGACTGAGTCAATGCAAGGCTATATAACTAAGGGAAACTTACCCATTCTGAGTGGTTTTGGTGGTATAAAAGTTCATTTTTTTATGTATTTGAAAAGCAGCCCCTCATGCAGTGTAAAAATGTGCCTTCCCCTTTCTCTCAGAAGAGAGGAGTTGGCAACTGACACGATGCAGAGGCGCAGAATGAAACCTATTTAGAACAGATGTTAGTATTTTTTAAAAAGTCACGTGAAATGAGCAGATGTTCAGAGTTTGCAGAGACTCGCCGTGCAGCGCATAGCTCTGCAGAGAGAGCTCCGAGCTGCTGGGCTCCAACACCACGGCCCTCATACTGAAAACTTAAAAAAAAACAACTCAATGTTCACAAAATCTCATCAAATTTGGGGCTGTGGTGGATTAAAAATGGACTATCTCCAGGAAACAACACAGACTGGCCGCCTGCCTTTGCTCAGACGACAAAAGGTAAGCTGGAAGAAAGAAAAGGGAGAGTCTGCTGCTGCTCATGGCTGTATGGGAAGAGATATTAGTTTATTTATTTGACTTTGAAACAAAACGAGCAAATAAAGGAATGGGTGTTTGTAAAAGAATCCAACACGAAAGGGTTCTGCTCCAGTCAGGCTTCATGATGTGTGTGTGTGTACTTAAGAAAAGAGAGAGAGAGAGACTGTGCGTGGAACAGGAAGGAGGCCCTAAAAGGGGGAGAGTACCTGAGAATCGGGGCAAAAATGGATCATCAAACTACTCCAAAATAAATTTAAAAAAGCCAATGAAGCAATGAGCCTGACTCACAATAATGCAGGCCTGTCAAACATAGATGCTTACCTTGTATCACATTACATGCCTTCACTTTTTTATTCCAAAAAAAAAAAAATCCTGTTAACAAAAGAGCTTGACCTTTTTACTGTGAAGCTGGAATTATATTACTATTAATATTATTATTATTATTCAGAGGTAGATCAACTGAAGTTATTTTCCTTCTTCTTTTATTTTTTTCAAAAATAGGTGTTTATAAGTAGTGTATTATTACAGATAAACAGAAAAAAATAATGCAACCATTTTTTTGCATTTACTTACTCATATTTATATACTATAACACAATTGTTTTATGTCCTACCATGCTAACATGAAACAATTTTGTTAAAATAACTAAATATGATTAAGTAAATGCCAAAAACGGTTACAATTTTTTTTTCAGTGTTACAGTTTAGCCTTAAAACTTAATAAATATCAAATTTCAGCTATTTTAATACTCAACTTGTTTATTCATGGACTGTTTATTTATTCAAAACGATTTATGACGGCACAGGGCGCATAAGAAGCAGGTGCAAATAAATTCTGTTTGTATAGTAGACATCTGAGAAGCTGAGCTGGGGAAAAAAATCCTCCTATAGACTTGAAGCAAAGAGAGACAGAGAGGAAAAAAAAAAACAGATGATAGGTTAAACTGACAGCAACAGTAAAAACATTCCCTGTTGACTGCTACATGCATTATCTGTGTGACTGATTGTATCATGATTGAAATGATTAAAAAGAAGTGCATTAATATCACAAAAAGGAACATTTAAATGAGTTAAACCAATTTCTTGTTGGACACTTCAGTTATATTAGACAGAAAATATATCTTTGTTAAAATTAGTAATATAAAAAAAAAACATGAAAGAAATATACTAAAAGTATTTTACAAATAAGTTAAAGAAGACCAACAAAAAAAGCACAACTGATTGTGAACATATAATAGCATAATTATCAGCTATTTCTGTACTCATGTCCACCATTGGATATCTTGCTGTTCTAGGTTTTAAACTTCAGAAAATTATTTTTTGAAAACACGCACCTGCATGTAATAATACATAGATATACATATACATGGTTTTATTTAACAATAAAAAACATCAAGTTTATATATTCAAAGCTTTATGTTTGCAAAGCTTTAATCCAATAAGATAAAGTTACTTGCCAGATAATTGGATTTTGACATTTAGTTCTTTGGGATGTGTGAGTATCAGACACTTGATATATGTATTTTATGACCTTGTTTTTTTCTTTTTTTCAGAAATAACCTTTTTATAGAAATATAAATTTACTTCACGTAAGAACAAGAGTATTTCAGAAAAGCAAGAGTCACTTCTAATTTCTAACAACAGAATTAATAACAACAACCCTAACAGCATTGCATTGCAATGAAGAGAAAATTAGCCTGCAGTTGATTTTTTCTTAAGATCTTTTGAAATTACAATAATTTTTTTTCTTCTCAGATCTTTCAGATAAAGAATGGAGGTAATCAGTATCTAACTAAAATTTATATAAAAAAAGTCTAAATAAACATTTAAAAGAATACAAACGTGTGTTTGTATTTGTAGTTGTTGGAATTTAGTAGCTTATCTAACTTCAGACAAAGTTAAATTAAATTCTGTGCTTCATTTCTTGTGAGTGAGAAAACTTGCATTTTCCAAGTTTATTTCTTTTAAAAGGGACTGCAAAAATATTAAGCAAAAACCTTTCTATCTTTCTTAAAAAAAAAAAAAACTCTTATTTGATCAACTGGAAAATACTGCAACGTTTTTGTCTAATAAGCACCTATTTGTAACAAATGGTTGCACACAAAATTAAAAAGATAAGATCTTAGGATTGTTCAAGAAAAGCAAAACAAACATTTTGGTTGCTCACAAAAATCCCAGAGTGTCAATTTAAAGGCTACTTTGAGGCCTGTTGTTACACGCTGCACCGAATAAATGAGTGATTACATCTGAAAAGTGAAGAAGTCACAGAAAGCGGTATAAAGGCTAGAAAAATGTGACGCTAGGAGGCTGGTATGTGATCAGACTGCACTCAGTATATCCAAATGACACAGGACAGAGTGCACACCTTGTGTTTAACCTTTGTTTTGCGTGATGTGTGCCACCCATGCTGCAGAACAGACACGGATCGGTGTATTTTAGAGGTATACACAATGATGTCACGGACAGGAAAGGGGCTGGAAAAAGGCTTGGCACCTTTAGGAATTGGCCAGATCTCTTCCCCGAATTGGCTCAGCAGATACACTGGAATAATAAACAGGCAATCAGAAGGCAGCGTGAGAGTACACAAAGGCACTGCAAAAGTTTGCAGATAATAAAAGCAGATCTTTTACTTGAGGGAGATGATTATTTGTGCTCCTCAGTTGTCCATAAATAGAGGGCCCCTTACAGGAAGTATAAACATACAGATGAAGTGGAGTCCAAAGCAGTGATTTCAAACGGTTCTGTTTATGTTCAATCAGGTCCGGGTGGAACTTTAGCCTTGGGTTTAGCATGAAGCACAAAGGATTGTTTCCTGAGGGAAGAAGGGAAGTTTTAAAACTAAGCACTGTTTCTCATACAATTCATTTTTAAAAAGTTCAATCATCAGTATGCAATGCAAAGACTAATGAAAATGTTAAACTGTATATATTGTTATGCAATTAAGCATATTAAGCTCTTCCCCTATTATTATAGTTCTCCTTGGAGTGGCTGAAAATTTATGTACCTAGTAATTATCATGTGTCTTTTTATTCAGCATTTGTAGCTCCTTATAGTGATATATAGCTTTATCATCAATGGTGATTACTTACCTGTTTCTTTTCTCCTTGAGTTTAAACAAGTGACATAAAATAATAATTGATTTTAATAGTAGGAATGAGATTTTAAATACAGAATTGTTGAATGTTTCAAAAATGACATCTCTGATTGGTTGATGAGACATTGTCATGTCTCGTTTCCTCAGAGCTCCGGCTGCCTGAGAACAGCTCTGTTCTAAAACAGGATCCTCAATCAGTCAGAACTAAAGTTGGTCATTTAAGGGCTTTTTAATTGCTTCAATTGCATTAGTTTAATTTTACATGACAAATTTGTTTTGTTTTTCCTTTCATGCATTGATATATTAAGCATCCCTCAGTGACTTTTTGAATCATATTCTTTGGAGCCATCCAAAGCGGACACTTTGGTCTAGAATGGGCAGCTGCTACCTCTCATTATACAATAAACCCATTGCTACATAGATTGCACTGATATTCCTCTGATGGGCGAGATAGGAAACTACTTAATCTAGTTTGGGGCACGCTAAGGTGTTGGGATAGAACTCCATCATCATGTTCTTCCAGACTTTTAGGATACAATTTAATGTCATAACTAAGAATCAGACAACTCTTCTATAAATCATTGGGAGGGGTCAAGAAAACTATTGAATAAAGTTAGCAAAGTTTTTTCTCAGAAAGAAATTTCTCTTCCCATTTAAAAAAAGTTTGTCAAACAATTGTTTGGTGTCTTAATTTTGTTTTGTTTTTAATTAAGTTAAACCAGTGGTAAATGTTTCTTTAAGTGACTGTTAATAATAAAAATCCTTGACTGTGTTTAATTATTTTAACTTGTGAATAATTCCTATTTTCTGATAAAAATAATAAACCTCTTTATTTTTTCTTGAAATGCTTGACCAAATCATTTACTGTTAAAGGTAAAGGATTAACCTAAACTAAGTCCTGTCAGATTTTCAAAGAAGAATGATTAGTTATGTGCATGAACGTATTTGATGCAACTCTAATTCTGCTGTTATCACCACAATTCGCTGTACAACACAAAGCCAGTAATATAGGCAAAGCACAAGTTGTCCCTTATTGAGTTGAGGTAGTGAGACATGCAGTCATGGCGTAGTTCCCCTGAGGGCTAACAGGCCTCTAATGACGCAGCATCGGGGTTCTGTCCCTAAAGGCGTTAGACTCCCTGGGTATTAATTCCATTGCCTTCATTAACCTGCTGGCCCACCGGCCCCGGCAGCGCTCAGAGCCAGGAGTCTAATGTCAAACTGATAATTGATGTGTTGTTACCTAGAGTTACAAAGATCTCCTTATTCCCCTTGTGTCATTTTGACTTTCCTCTCATTCAGATAATTAGGTTCTTAGCAGGGAAGTGGCATCATGGGGAAGCGGAGAAAATCCAACTGGATATCAGTGGAATACTTTGTTTCCTGTCCATGTGAAAGTTCAGGTGACAATGAACACAGGAGAACATTGAATAAGAAATCTGTTCAGCAAAAAGACATATGCAACAATGCATGAATGTAATGATACTCATTATATATTAAGAAAAAAAAACTTCATATGCTGTCAAACTTACTTGACAGATCTAAACACAGCTCCAGCAGCAACGTAAAATTTTGCATCATCTTATCAAGGCCCAAATACTTGGCATATTTATGTCTTTCTGTGCATTTAAAACTCTGTTCTAAGATCCTCTGCTAGCAATATCATCTTTGAAATAGTTTCACCATGTGTCTTTTTTATGTAATGTGTTCTCTGGCTTTAATTTTGTGCACATGTTCTGACTCTGTGTATATTTTCTCTCACATCCCAGGAGGAGCTTTGGTGCAGAATGGAGACCCTTCAGTCCATTGTCAGCCACGCTTCCAGGTCAGGTGTCCAAGAAAATGCTAAACAACAGATGAAATTCCACAAAAGTAAAAAAAAAAAAAAAAAAAAATGATGTGTTTTGTTAACATAAAAAAATGTAAATGTGAACTAAATGTAACCTGAAATGCTGATTGTGCTGCTTTATATTTGTCATATTTCTGCTGTATGGAGGAGTGAGGGCCAGTGTCCTGCGGGTTTTAAAACCTCCCTGCTTTAGCATACCCAATACAGATGATTTCAGTTCAGCAAAAGCCTGTTAATCAGCCATTAATGGGAATCAGGTGTGCTGAATCAGGGAAGCATCTGAAACATGCAGGACAGTGACCCTCGGGGACTGACTTTGGACGTCCCCTGGCCATATATTATGATTGTGTTTGAAGATGCTTTTTGGAGAGAGCTTTTGTTAAACCAACTTCTACTGCATGATTCAATGTCATAGCACATTCTTTGGCTTTATAAGCACGTGAAATATATATTTTATTGATTGAAAAAAAATGAACAAATAACATACCTTTGAAGATGTTTTGAATAACATCTGAGCACAGTGCAGAAGCTGGATAATCATTTTTGAGAAGTCTCTGTCATTTATCTCCTCTATCTGCATGCTGTCAGGCTGCTGGCCTCATCCTTCTTGACACAGGCCCCAGCTGTTTGTGACCTTAGTGCTAAATCAAGTTCAAAGAGGACCACTGGTGTTTGGCAGATAGTTTTACATGTGGGGCTGGGACAGGACCATTTGTTTGGTCAACCTCTGGCTCCCTCTTTGATTCGCAGCTATCTGTGACCCCCTGGCAGAGCAGCACCAATAAAGCCTCTATATTCAGGCACAATACCTCAACTGATATAATCAGCAACATTGCTGACTTTACTTTTAAGCAACTGATTACCTATTCATATTGCTGAGTGTTCATATCTTTCAGAAATGTAAAACAATTGTGCAGCTTGCAGAAGTTTTCATACCCTGGGAACCTTTTAGAGTTTGCCTTAAAGTTCAATGAATTTTATTTTAACTTTATAGAATAGAACAACATAAAATGCTGAGTTTTACACATAAAAATCGGAAAGTGTGCCATGTTGTTAAAACCTGAAACCTAAAACATGAAAGTGAATCCTGCTAAATATGTTGATTCAATTCACAATTCAACAAAATACTGTATTAATCCCAAAGCAAAATGAAATAAAAGGAAAACTGGGTGACCTGTATGTAGGAATGACAATTTCCACATAGTAAATTCTTACTCTGTGCATCACCCTGAAAGCATCATTCCCATAATAAAACATCAACGTGGCAACGTTTTTAGGAGGGAATGCTTTCTTTCAAAAGAGACAGAGAAACTTGACAGTGAAGAATTATAGTAATTATAATTTTAGGGGGAAAAAACTTTACTGCCAAGCAAACTGTGAGGAATTTGCATTGGTCACAAGATGCTTCACCTTAACATACAGTTGACTAAATATATAAATATATATCATATATATTATGCAGCGCAGTCCTGGAGGAAAATCTGTGGGAGTCAATAAAACAATTGATACTTTGGTTGCAGTTTACCTCCCAAAAGCACATCTACTTTAAACATAGAGCCAGAAATACAACCAAACTGTTTGGATAGGAAATAATATGTATTTTTTTTTATTGTAATTCCAGACCATAATCTAACAGAAGGGCTGCATGGTGGCGGAGTTTGTAGCACTGTTGCCTTGCAGCAAGAAGGTTGTGGGTTTAATTCATACAAATAATCTTCACACCTTCTGATTTTTATCAGCTAAAACAATTTAAACCGATGCAATTAACAGCTATGCACTATGTTGTGTTGGTCTATCAATCATAATTCTGATAAGCCACACTGAAGATCTTACATAATGTATTACACTTCATTAGTATGAGTAACTTTAAAGTTGAAAAACCTTGAAGCTTCAATAAGCAGAATAAGCACACCAGTTTTACATCAACTAAACATTTATCCCAGATTAAACTGGTGCATTTTCCTGAGGAATATGAAAGGGAAAAAAATAATGTTTTCTGATTCAGAGAACCAATTTCATATGTTTAGAGTGTGTGCACCTCCAATACTGTTAAACCATATGTAGCTCTACTAAGATATAAGAATCATCTTTCACATGGCAGCAGCACTTCAGCTTCTTTATCAGTGGAGAACATTTTCAAGAGAAGGACATGCATTTTTCACCATAAATACCTGAACAAAATTAGAAACCCATCAGGAATAACAGTCCTGTGTATGATTTGCATTGCAAGTGTGTTATCACATTAAAAGAATAAATAAAACATTGCAATTTGATCTGTATTGCTGCAACGCAAAACTGAAGAATTAATAAAATGACATGCTGATTCAAAGCAGTCTTCGAGTGCTTCACTGTAGAAGGTATTATGTGTTCGTTATGCTACCTAATATTATGGATTTTTATTTACATGACGCAGCACTTTATTTTAGGACTATAAGCTCAGCATGTAGCTGAAGTTACATTAGAAATGGTGATTATTTCAAAAGGCAATTCCATTTAGATCGGAAACTTTTTCCTAATCTTAAAATACTACAGAAATATGGATTTTTTTCTACTCCTTGCAAACTACTAACTATGACTAATTTCCCCCAAAAAGAAAAGAATCTTTTTCAGTGAGTCACATTTTCTTCCAACTGCAGTGCGTTGCTTTCTTGTACTCTTATTTTGGTTAATTTCCCTGACCTTTAACACTTGCCCCAGAGAGATGCAAATGCCCAAAGAACATAATGGCTCCCTTCCTGTGTAAAAACCAGGCCTGTAAAAGAAGATAATTAGAGTTGTCATGACAACAGGGTCCGGCGGGCTGATGGAGCCGCGTTCGCTTGCAGAACTTCAAACGGTATCAAAGCTCCATGGGCTGGTATACCAGCTCTGGTTTAAATTACCGACTGACTTACAGCGTCTCTTTTCGAATTTGAGATCGATATGGAATACCTCCCCCTTTCCCTCCAAAAAAATATATCAGTAAAGGGGGGGAAGCCCAGTTAGTTCTGGTCCAGACGTACACCGAAATCTGGGTTTCATTAGAGACAATTATCTTATCTGTTTCATCTCAATGCCGCCCCAAGGGTTGGCAGGCAGATCACCGAGCTCGGTGCAGTTTGGGAAAGCCCACAGCCAGCCAGAGGCCTGTGGATCAGGTCATTAAAACACTCCTGCCCCTGCTGCTAGTGATAAAATATTTTCATGCTTTTGTAAATAGATTTTCTTCTTTCAACCCCACAGGACATAAAAAACAAAACTTTTCCTCTGAGGATGTCCAAGAGATGAGGGGTCAGCTAAAACTTTGTTGGCTTTGCTCTCAGGTGGAGCTGTGTGAGTTTGTCTATGCTCTTGTTGACTTTTTTTTCCTCAACATATAGCTGTACTTCATCATCGACACAGAGCTGGATCGTCCAGTCCACTTGTTAAACACAGTGTCTTGAAATACAGCACAGACACCTGTCAAAGCAGTGTGCGGTAGTCTATTTTTCACTGAGAGATATGAAAACAGCACAGAAATAAAAGTACTCCTTTGAAGAGTGGTTTGATATAAATTAGGCCTGGGAAAACATGCTTATGATCTGTCACTATGAAATACGATGAGGAAATCTTTTATGCACTTTCATGTGCTTCTGACCATGAGAGAAGACAATTTTGAAGTTCTTGAAACAAAAATAAATCAAAAATATTTTTATTCCCCATTAACAATAGAGAGAAAGAAGATTTAAGATCTAAAAGCCAACTTTAGGCTAAAACAGAGGGAAAAGAGGGATTATAGCTAGCCATTTGCCATAAGTTAGCCAAGCCAAAAAAGCCAAATCATCTAGAACAGGACTGAGCAACCTTTAAACCAAGAGTGACTTCATGCTTGCTGAGTCGTGCAAAGGGCTGCCAATACTGACTTATGAACTGCAAGAATCCCCATTCAACTATATTTGATGTTTCTTCTAGATATTGTTTTCAAATCTCTATAAATGCAGGTGTAAATGAAAAATAAGAGAAACAGAATAAAATGACATTTTAGACTCAGCTCATTGCTGAGTTTTACCATTTTTAAAGATGCTAGAGGGACCCTCATGTGGTCCATGACGGCTCCCTGCTGCAGCCTGTGGGGACAGCAATGGCAAAGCCCTGATCTAGAGGCAGACCTCCTGTCAACTGCTGTAACCACAGTTAGATTTCCCTGATGATCTGTGTCAAAATCCAACTTTAACTCCAATTATGGGTGAACCTCAGTGTAAGCTGTTAATGAAATACAGCAGTAATAATATTGGATAAACAGCCAAAAAACTGGCTTTTTTTGGCATCTATGTCAACCTGTACTTGTAGTAGTGAATTGTGTTCCACAGTACAATTAGTATATTGTTAAAACAAATAATTCAGAGCTAAAATATTCCCTGCCATTGGGGACATTACAGTTTTCCTGTCATCTAGAGCAACAACAAAGAAAGAAACCTAAATTTAACAACAGCATAATCCTACAATGTAGCCAGGTTGTGTTAAACTTATTTTATATCTTAAAGCAGCATCTGCTGGATGTAAGCATAGTTTGCAAAGAAAAATAACTCCTAAAGATTGCAAACCCACTTACACACTGGCACAGACCCTGTGAATAATGCAGACCCTTAACAATCACCACAGCATTGCTTAAGGCAGCAGACACATGACCATGCCCTGTTTTACATGTAACTGAAGAAATAAAGTCACATTACCATGCACATGAACAGTTTGATCTCCATGGCCAAGAAAAAAATACTTATCTAAGTGAAGTACAGTGAGTTTAATGCATGTATCTAGTGACACACGCATTCAACAAAACAATAGGTTTTAAAAAGAAACATTTTGATGTGTTTTATTTCCCTTTCACTTTGTTTTGTGGACTGATTGTTGGAACACTTCTGGTTTTTGTAAGCCTTCAAAGCTAATTTGGTGTGATTCCCAATTCCTCAGAGCAAACCTTGGTTCTTTAACATAGGCATTCAAACTGGACTGTGATATTAATGTATCATTTGATTACTGTTTGGTTTTCTTCTTTTTATTTATTTACCCATTTAATTTTTACTACGTTTATTGAATGAACAAATGTAAATGGATGTTGAAGTGTTTTGTCAATAAATTCTTGCATTTGGAAATAAGTTGTTGTTGTGTTTATTGCGTATGTGTGTAATGCTTCCTGTCAAAGAACACCAGATTTCAAAATCATTCTAATATTTATTGTTTTATGACACCAAACCATAACAGCCAGGTATTTCTAGAACAACACTGGGCAAGAATGCTGAGAGTTGTCTGGCGAACAATTCCTGATGGTCAAATGGTGCTCCAAATTATTACTTTTGATTAAAAAATGACTAATTTAGCTAATTATTGCCATTGGCACTTGTCATTATTTATTCATAGCTAAATTTAATGTACTGTTATGCAACCAGAAATGAGGCCCCAAACAGGCATCCAGCCAGAACAACAAAATCCCTTCATCTGACAGCTAAAGCTTTCAAAGAAAAAGGCTTACATTGTATACATTTCACCTGTTTATTTTGCATTGGAAAATGTCAGGTACATATCCTACATTTGTGCTTTAATGTTGTTGAAGGCTTTTGGTAAGTACCTCAAAGAATATCAGTCAATTATTCTAAACACTGTTTGTCACTGCTGAGTAATAATGAACAAATCTACGTTTGTTAATGTTGATGTAACTACAATTAAATTCACCCAACCCTGATTTTTCTATACTGTTACACTCCTTAAGTAAACATATTTTTTAAAGACAAGCTCTGTGTATGCACCTTGAAGCTCTATCTCTCTGGTTCTTTTTCCTGAAAAGGGATCACTGAGGAAAAACTGTTAAAAAACCCTTATAACTTATATGTATTAAATAACCAGGAGACATGACAGCAGATTCTGATAGAAATTGTAATTTTACTCAGATCAGAGAAATTGTTAAGAGTTTACAGAAGGCAGCTTCTCCCCTCCGGGCTCACCTTTCTGGAAGTGGATTAACAGTTAAAAAGGCATTTTATTATTATTATTAATAATATTATTATTATTTTATTATTTTATTTTATCTCCACTCTGCCACATCATCACATTTTACATCATACATGTTAGCAGATGATTAGACATCCATGGCTGCAGCCTTATCAAAATATTACACTTCATTCTTAGCTGATGGACACCGCTCTCATTTAATTTCCAAATCTTTGCCACTTACAGAATGAAGATTATAACTGTATATCCGGACAGAGGAGCTGTCTTAATTAGATTAAAACATCAGTTCTGAAACGTAACAGGCAGCCCATACCAAGGTGTAATAAACTCACATATCTTCTATGATAATTATCCTTACAATATTATAATAAGTTTGAGTAACAAGAACATGCTATCTAAGGCGTTAAGAACAGTACGGTTAAAAAAAGAGGAATTTCTGGATGAGTCTTCAGACATAACGTTACAGACCAAACTATTAGACTATGTATCTGGCTACCCTGTCCATTTACAGAGTCTTTCTTTTTATATATTCAAATTGCTTCTCTATCTTTGCTTTTTTAATCAGACCTGGTCTTTTTTATATAATATTGACTGCACATTTTGAGCTCTGACTGTTAGGCTTTTTAAGACTGTGGTCTGATGGCTGGATTAACTTTTCCCTTTTGAACAAAAATCTAAAGATGGACCCTAAATCAGTATGAACATGATCATTTAACCTGTGCTCTACAGATGGGTAGCAACTATTTCTGAACCTATTTAAGTTCACATTTAAATGGACCAAGTTGAAAGTTTTGTTTGTAAAACAAGAATTAAAAAAAGGAAGAAAATTCAGCACACCCTGTTTTTCGGGACTTTTATTAACCTTGATGCCAACACACACATAGCATTCACATTTGGGTTAATCAAAACAAGAAACTAACAAAACTGTTTTTCAGCTTTTGCTTTTTTGTTGTTTAAATACGGGCTACTCAGTTTAAAGGAAATATACATAAGGATGATATAAGGATAAACTTGTTTCTAAAAAGCTTTTGCCTCAAAGAAAGATAGAGTGGTTTGTCTATAATTTCTAATGGGCTGCTCTAAATTATGGTGGCCATAAGAGGTGCAAATGCACTGCAGGTACATAAATAGGCTACAATTACAAAAAGTACTGCAAACAAATCCTCGGCTAGCAAACACAAAGATTAGACTAAAACACTAATCGTATGTCACAAATGCTGGTAAAGATTAAATCTGCAATCACAGAAAATAGAGATAAACTACTCTACATTTGCTACAATATTTTTGGAAAAATGCTGTAAGCAGCAAAACAACTGCAACTGCAAGCAGTTTTCTCAGCAAGTTTCTCAACTTGTTGTTTTCTCAAAAACAAGTTGAGAAAAGCTGCATACTAGCTCCGGGTCACAGAAGTGAAGACATAAATATGATGCTCAGATTAATTGTTTAAAGAAGACATTAAGGTTAAATTACCTTTTTCTTTCTTTCCCTCAAATGTATCCTGTGTAGGCATTCCATTTATGTTTTTGAGGAGGATCTGGTCCGTAGACAATTCATATTAGGGTCCATGCACTGGTCGCGTACATATCAGTTCATGATCTCCCCCTAGTGGTCTGGAGCT